ACAATACAACAATATTAAGCTTGGATTCGGTCTGCCTGATTTAAGGCGGTAAGCGCCAGCAAAGCTCGACCAGAGTATGAGCTGCAGGTCACCGAAGATAGGCACGAACCAACACTAATAAGTCTCCCCCACAATAAGGCAATGAGAAGGCTTGGATTCGGTTTGCCTGATAGGTTTTGTAAGTCCCCTGCAGGCAGAGCAGAGCATGCGCTGCAGGGCACCGAACACAGGCATGCATCAGCGCCTAAAAACCTCCTCACAATGGCGAAGAGAGGACCCGGATTCGGTTTTCCTGATTGATAGGACTTGTAAGAGCCTGTGGCAACTCTAGCAAGTAGAGTAGAGTGTGTGCCGCGGGACACCGAAGACAGGCGCGTATCAACGCCAAAAATAAAAAGAAAGGGGGATCTGTGGGGAGCAAACCGGACTAGACTGTTACTGGAATTAAGACTTATTCTATGCATCTGCTCTCCCACAATATGGCGCTGGGAGAGAAGTAAACAGCTTCCGCACAGCTGCCTCCAGTTCAACCAATTAACTGTAGGACTTGCTCCTGATTGGAGAGCAGTGTACTCGGCGTGTGGGCAGCCGAGTTGGGATTGGCAGAGAAGGACTATAAAGGAGGAGAGAGACGGCATGCACCAGGAACATCTATGGGGAACATCTAGCTGAAGGAACACCCGTGCAGCCCCCGAGAGAACCGGCCGGTGGTGTGCCGCTCCCCTGCGGAAGTGGGGAATGCGGCCAGGGGGAACTGCCCTTCCACGGAGGTGGAAGGGATAGTAGCCAACCCGGGAAGAACCAGCAGCAAACCCGGGGAGGGCCGAGCAGACGAAAGAACAGCGCAGGGTCCTGTGTCGTTCCTCCACGAAGAGGGGGAGCGACAGTTCTGGCACTGGGACAAGCAGAGCTTGAAGTGGTGGAGTCCTGGGTGGTGGCAGAAGACAACCCGGGGGTGGGTCAGCCCCCAGGTCTGTCTGTCGCTCCGTTGTGTCTTGTGTCTCCAGGAGGGCAGCGGCATAGCAGAGCCTACTGCTGGTTCTAAAGGTGAGATTCAGAAAGATTTCCCCAAGTATTTATTTTTTAAAAGCAGAGCTAGAGAGAGAAAGAGAGAAAGAGAGAATCCAGCTGGGCCAGACTGAAGCCAGGGACCAGGAGCTTCTTCCAGGTCTCCCACATGGGTGCAGATGCCCAAGCACTTGGGCCATCTTCTACTGCTTTCCCTGGCCATAGCAGAGAGCTGGATGCGAAGTGGAGCAACTGGAACTCGAACCGAAGCCCATATGGGATGCCGGCACTGCAGACGGCGGCTTTACCTGTTACGCCACAGCACCGGCCCCAACCATCAATGACCTCTGGGCTAAGCTCAAATGTAGAAGGCCTAAGCCAAAGAGGAGTTCGTCAAGGTAGAAAGCCCATGGTCAGATGCTACAGAATAAAGTAGGGCCCCCAGACGCTGCAGAGCTGGGCAGCAGCTGCCACCTTCTTCATGAAGGGCCCCAGCGTCGGCCCTTGGCTGTCCCATCTCCAGCAGTGGTGTGGGCAGGAGGGCAGACATGGTTGGGTCTGTGGTGTGGCAGGACAGAAAGAGAGAGGAGACCAAGGCCAGAAAGAAACCACGAGCTTCCAGCACAGGGAGGCCAGAGTCAGGCAAAGCTCGCTGGCCGGTGTCTGGGCGGGGCTTCCAACTCCTGCTCCAGCCTCCTGGCTCACCGGCCACTTATGTTGTCGGGGGTGGCCCCTGGCTATGCTTGGTCCAGGTTCTTGTGGCCCCCAGGAAGAATTCAAGGAAGGGACAAAGGCAAAGGTGAACAGGAAGACAAGATTTAGCAGCAAGGTTTGGAGTTCCCTTTGCTCTGCTCTGGAGGCCCAGGGTGGTGTCTGGGGCAGGGCTTGGGTACCACCCACTTCTGCGCCATTTTTTGGAAACCTCAGAAGAGTCATGGTGTCACGTGCATGATGGGAGCGGGAGTGCCAGCCGTGGCAATTTCATTATAATGACCTAAACTGCATTGCCGGGACACAAGCGTCAGCCATGTTGGATATTGCTGGCTGGCACTGCTTCTAGGTTTGCAACACAGCAGAACTTGGGGTTTCCAGTGCACACAAGCCGGGGAGCAGTCTGGGTGGCGCATGGAAGAGGGTTTGGGCAGCATGCAGAGAGGAAGTTGGGATGATGCAGACTGGACTGTCTCACGGGCTGGCCAGCCAGGGCTTCTGCAGGGATCGGCTGTGGCTGCCGTGTGGGGTTGTCACAGGGGTCAGCGGGGCTGTCACACTGTGGACCCTGCTCCACACTGCTCGTCATGCAGGGCTGCAGGGCAGTGCCGGCAAACTGCAGCTCCTCTGGCTCTCGCCACTTCCCTGCCCCCGGCTCTGTGCAGCAGCAGCTGGCCGGCTGGATCTCTGACCTCCTTGGTGACGCTCTGGAGATGGACGGCCTGTTTGCTGCCATTTCCCCAACCTCTTTCTCCAGGTTCAGACTGCAAGTCACAAAACCACACAAAAACGGTGTGACGGTCTCTCTTATGCCCAGGATAGAGCTCTGAGGTACATCTGTGGAAGGCTCTAGAAGGACGTCTCGGCCAACCAGGGAACATGCTGCAGACACAGGAGGACGTGGTCCTGCAGATCAGGAGCAGGGACGCGGGAGCCTAGCTGTGTTGGGCTGCTCTGGCTCATTTGCCATGGAGGGAACTGACAGGGCCCTGCTGGGCAGCTTTCCCGCTCCCGCCGCCTCCCTGGACAGATTGCCTAGCCCAAGGCCTGGACCTGGACAGGATGGAGAGCATCAGATGTCTGTCCATGGAGGGGACATTGTTGATTGGCCCTCCATGGAGTAGGGAGGGAGGATCATGACCCAGCAGGCCAGCCTGGAGCTGTTGGCCACCTTGCACCACGCTTCTAACCCAGGCACTCCTGTGTCTCCTGCAGTCCCCTGCGAGAGTCTCTCGAGAGGTGGTCTCAGCCTCTAGACCTGCCGCTGGCCTCCTCTCTGCGAGAGCAGGCGCCAGGCCCCATGCCTCCGCCCGGGACCCCTTGGGCTGGCAATGTGTTTGCCTCCCACTGCTGCCCTGCCCTGGCAGGCCGTGCCATGCTGCCCCCTGGCTGCTGCTGGGGTTAGCAGGCGGCAGGAGGCTGGAGTGGAGGGGAGAGAAAAGCTGGGACATGCCTTCAGCATCCGGCCCTGCCTCGGGGATGCAGCCCTGCGGAAGGCCCTCTACCCCCATGGCTCAGCTCCTGGGGAGGCCCTCTACCCACCTCCAACTCTCCTTTCAGCCGCCCACACTGCTGGAAATAGCCGTTTCATTAAAGTGGCTTCCTTGGAACCGTCAATGAATTCCAACGACAAGGGGACCCCCGCAGTTCCTGTGTTGGTAATATGCTCCATCCCTACACTTACGTGTTCCTGGTGCTTGGGGGTGGGGCCTTTGGAGGTGAGCGATCAGGAGGGTGGGGCCCCCACGACAGCGCTGGTTGCTCTGTGTGGCCACGAGATGTGCTGTCTGCCAGGTTGTCTGGGGGAGAGCTGTTAGCAGCACAGAGCGTGTCAGTGGGCCCGCAAGTCTCTAGTAGCCCGGGCACGGCCCACAGGGGACAGACTTCAGCTTCCAGGGTGGCTCCTTGGATCCCCGAATTTGCCATCCCTTCTGTCTCTGGGCTTCGGGAACATGCACCTGCCTCACCACCAGCAGAGCCCACAGGTAACCGCCTGCTGCCCCACTGCTCCCTCCCTCGCTCTGCGCACCTGTCCCCCCACCTGCTCCTGGCCTCCCGGAGGTCCAGGTGCTGGCGCCCTCACCTTTGCTGACAGCTGATCTTGGAGCCACGGCAGTGGAGAGTGAGACAGAGGAAGGTAACAGTGCGCAGGACTAGGGAGCTGGTCTCCAGGAAACCCGCGGAGACCCAGGGCATCTGGGGAGCCTGGTCTTCCCCACCAGGGGACGGTCACTGTGCCGGCTGCCCCCTCCCTGAGAACCTGCTGCTGGAGGGCCACTCGGGGACAAGGGTCACAAGACGTGGATGCCAGTAAAACAGGCCAGGTGCTAGCCGCCACCTCCCCGCAGGGACAGTTTTCCTCTGGAACTCTTCTGCCGGGAGGGTCTGCTGACGCCGTGCCCCTGAGCAGGGGGCCGCTGTGCACCTGACGTCCCCAGCCCTGAGGGCTCCCAGGGTCGCTGCTTTCCACTGCGAGGAGACAGACGACAGGGAAGGCTGTACAAGGGTCTCCCCGGACCAAGGCTGCAGCACGATTACCCTGGAATTATTTCAGCGTTTCCTGCTGGTTTCAGGAAAAGCGATTCTAATCTAAATTGTATTCATAAATTCTAAGTCATGTTCGTAATTCACATTCCAGGCTCCTCAGGGCACAAGGAACCGTAATTGTCAGGCTTCAACTGAAAAGGGAAACTGCGGCACCTTCACAAAACTCACCACGAAACGCGACCACGAAAGCTACTCCGACCTCACCTTCTGAGGTCCCCAGCCTCAGGCGCTCGGCTGACCTTGGCATTCACCGTGAGGGTAAAACAACCCTGTCTAGACTCAGGAGACATGGAGTTGCTGAGACTCATAAGGTGACCCGGCCCATTCTGCAAGATGCATGGAAACCTTGGAAATCTCCCCCAGACGGGGGCAGATTCTCAGCCGCGTCTGCCTCTAGCAGAGAGGAGGTGGAGTAGCACGGAGAGACCCGTAACGCAGCCCGATTCAATTTTCTTTTAATTCATAACATCGGCCGCCCCCGCTGTCAGGGCCCGGACAGTTTCCTGACCTGGCAGGGTGGGAAGCGCTGCGGACACAGTCGAGGCAGCCAGTCCGGCCCCCAGCCTCACGCTGTGCCACTCAGGGGGCGCACAGGTCCCCAGGGGATTCTGCTACAATAAACCCACTCTGGGGAAGCGGGCGCAGAGAGATCGTTCTGGGAGCAAACGTCTTGCCTTCCCTTCTGTGCCTGCCTCGGACTAAGCCCTCGAGTACAAAGGGGACGAGGAAATAAAGACAGTCTCCAAGGTGTTCATGGAGTGACTTTTTTTTTTCTTTTACATTTTTTTCAACTAGTTAGGACAAAAACATTACAATGATTGACTTCTTTCATTTAGTTACATAAATAAAATTTTTATAAATATCTCTTTATAAACAATATAAATAGCTTTACAACATAAATACATTTAGGCATGACATGAATGTACAAAGAGCAATGTTTTACAGCTGGTTTTGTCAGTCTCTTAAAAACTGTCTCTTGTCATCAACCCGGTGTAGGTGTGTGTCTCATGTATATAATATATATAATATATAACTTTTTATTTTTCATTTTCAAAAAAATTAAACAATAAATTCATACCCCCCTCCCCAAATAATAATAAAACAGCTGGTGTTGTGTATTCCCAGTACCAGGAAAAGAAAAAAAAAGAGAAAGAAAGAAATGTGAAAGCCACATTGCGTTGGAGGTGCTTCCAGTTGCTGCAGGCGGTGACCAAGGATGACCTCAGCACAGCCGAGCAAGCTCCCAATCCTGAAACACAGCAGACGCGGGATGCTCAGTTGGGCGCTTCTAGAACCTTCCCCCCCTTGCCCGCAGCCGCAGCACGAGGCTTTGCCCTGCAGGCCCCCGGCCAAGGCCTGCCTGTCCAGGGCAGCCCTCGCCAGGCCCTCACCTCCCGCTGTGCCCTTGGCGTTGCCGTCCCAGCACAGGTGGAACCAGAATGCCCGCCCGGCTCCCTCCGCCCCCTCCGTCTAACTACAGGCTTCGTGCTGGCGCTCAGAGACGCCCAGCGAGGGCCGGAGATGGAAAATCTCCTCCCCACCTCTACCCCTCTTTGCTTCCACACACTCCAGGCGGGTGCCTGCCTCTGCTGCGTGTGTCTGGGTGGCCGGGGAAGGGGGATGAGGGCCATCGGGGCAGTGAGGGATCCTGCGCTCAACAACCCCACCCCCGATGCCCTCCATGGCCAAGTGTTGCTTTCTTCATCCATAAAATGGGGCAATAGCCACCTCCCAGGGCTGGCTCTGGGACTCCACAGGGGCCACATGCATTGGCAACGTCTAGGTCGCAACTGCCACTTCCGTCCCTGCTCGGCGTCCCCTCGGAATAGGGCTGGGCCAGGTTCCCCTTCAGAGTCCCAGGAGACGGTGTCTCCCACCAGCCCTGGGGAAGTGTCAGTCATGAGGTGGGCGGGTTGTTATCAGAGTGACCTGACCCAGGCTGTACACAGTCCCTGCTACTGGGCATGTGGGTGCCCCAGGGCCCCAAGGACGTGTCCTTCTGAGTGGGGGGTACCCTGAGGGGGCTCAGGCCTGCACAGCTCCGTGAACTTTCCCCTGCTCAGCCGTCCTGTGTTTAAGCAGATGACAGGTGTCTGTGATGTTCCTGTGCCTGGGGCAAAGTCTTCACTCGGGTATCGGCCACACCCCATCTCAGTCATTAGCACTTTATAATCAAGACCTGGAACCAGCAGCCATGGTCATTATGGTGGTGCTGAGAGTCAAGGTCGGCCCTGAGCGGAGCCGTGGCCACAGGCTCACAGGCGGGTTCATTCAGGTGAAACAGCTGTGCGTCCTTCTCCTTTAAGCAAACACAAGGCCACGGCCTGGGACTGTCCACCAGGAACCCACAAGTACAATGTGTTGGTCTCGTACCAGGCGGGGCGGGGACGGCTAGGGATGTCAGTGTGGGTGTTCCTCTGCCCTACAGAGCTTCTTGGAGCTTGGCAACCTCCCGGGGCGAAGGTGGGGAGGAGACTTTGCACCTGGATCCCTGCTCCCCGGCATCTCTCACCGCCCACGGGGCCTGTAGCCAGTCATGCTGGAGAACACAGCACCCGTGGAGATGGGCACACCAGGCACGGACCCACAGACGGACAACTGCCATTTGCTTAGATTCCAAAGCCTGACCTTGACCTCTCACCCCATCTGGTCATTGTTTAGACAGAATGCAAGAGAGCAAAGACAGCATGATGGTAGCCCCTGCGGCTGGCCCCAAGGGCTTGCATCATTTCCCTCCCTGGGCAGGGGAAGAGTTCAGTGCAGAACTGAGGAGTCGGAGCCCGGTCAAATCTGGCTGCAGAGAGGAAGGGGGCCGGTTAAAACCCGGGGCAGGTGCAAGAGGGACAGACAGCCCTGAGCTTGGGCCTGCAGATGTCTCTGGTCATTGACAACATGTTGAAGAGCCCTTGTTGGGGACACTGTGAGTCCTAGGTTGCCTTGGGCTGACATCTGGCCCTTAAGTGGCTCCTGATTTAATATGGGAGGTGAGCAGGTACAAAGGTGAAAAGGTATCCACGGAGAGGTGCTCGGGTGCACACCACCGGGCTCTTTTTTTTGGGTGGAAAGTAACTGCCCCGTGGGCTGGGTGCGGGACAGGCAGTGGCAGAGGCCCAGCTGGGGACAAGCCTTGAAAGCAGCAGGAGTTTGCTCTTAACACACCCGCATGTCAAGGTCCCAAGGGATTCCATGGCATTGGCAGGCAGCCGGATTGGAGGGAGGCAGAGAGAGAGAGGCAGTGAGGATCTTTGTGGAGGGATACTGTCACCAGGTAACACCTGGCCAGGGCTGCCCGCAGGCTTTCCAAGTTGGTGGGGAGGAGGCCACAGCAGAGACAGGGACCTGGAGCACCATCTGGGTGGAGGACAGGGTTTTGAGGGGCTCCATCTGGGACATGTCCAGTTTGAGGCTGGGGCAAGATGTAAGGTCTATTGCATTCTCTTCCTTTGCCTGCCCTGAAATGGTGTCCCAAGCACCGTGGTTGGCCCCCGGAGCCTGGCGGCTGCAGCGGCATCAGGACCCTGGACAGACCAGTTCGCCCACAGCTGGGCTTAGAGAGGAGAAGCAGAATGCCCAAGAGTGCCCAGCTGGGCGAGAGGCAGGTATTTTCCCAGGTCTGTCCCCCTGCAGGGACAACAGGTCTGGCAAGCTGTCCTGGCTGCCCAGTGCCGGAGGCCACCGGCACAGCGGCACAGGCAGACTTAGCCTGGCTGGTGGGTATGTCTTTCCTCAGTCCTCCCAACACACACGGGCTCTTTTGACTCTCCCAACACTGCTAACTCACCTGCCAGTTCAGAGGTGGGCGGGACCTCACCATGCCTGTTTCTGCTTCTCCAGGAACCAGGTGTGCCCATCCCAGCTGTGCGCTCCTGACCTTACCCAAGTTTCCTGACCACTGTATCCTTCCCTTTCTTCATCTGCAAACTGGGGAGCAAGTGGGGTGGCAGCAGCAAATATGCACCCCACGTGGCCATCACCTGGCTCCCTCCAAGGGCCCGGGGATGAGCGAGCCATCGCTGCGCGGCCGTGCGGGCCTGCGGTTTGGCTCTGGGGGGCTCCAGAGCAGGGCGCGCGGGGTGGGTGGTACTCACCGCCGCCAGGGGTCGCCGCACTAACATCCCAGGCCGCTCATGGAGCCGATCCGGTCCAGTTTGAGGCCAAAGCAGCCCTTGGACAAGCCCTTCTTGTTGGTCCCTTTGTATTTGCGGGCGTTGGGGTGCTCGTGCAGAAGGCGGGCCCACGCCGCCCGCGACTTGGTGTCCACACGCAGGTCCCGCAGCAGTCGCGATCGGTCGCCCTTGAGGTTGGCGCCTCCGCCCCCGGGAGCCTTGTCGCCCTTCTTCTGCCCGCCGCCTGCAGTCTGGGGCTCGGGCACCTCCTCCCCAGGCGGGTTCCGTGGGGCCTGTCCAAGAAAAGAGTGGGCAGGTGAAGGGATGCACGGTTGCAGCGCAGGGCGCCCCCGTGGGGCCCCGGGTGCTCCGGCCCGGCGCGCCCACCGGCGCGAGTCCCTGCAAAGCCCTGGGCGCGCTCCCACCGACGCCGGCCCGCCCGGCCCGCGTCCACCTGCCGCGTGCTCGCGGCCGTCCGCTCCCTCGGGGGGCGCCCGGACCTCCCTCCTGCCGGCTTGTGGGGCAGGGAGGCGGCGCGTGAACGGACGTTCTCCGAGGCTGGGGGAGCAGGCCACCGATCCCAGCTTCCGACGGCACATCTCGGGGCGCAGCCCGCCCGCTCTGCTCCCTCCAGCGCGCCTCATCGTCCCAGGCCTCTGGCCTCCCGCGCGGCTCACAGGCCCGGAGCCCCCGCGACAGCACCCACCTTCGGCGCCGCCCCCGGCTTGGCTTCGGAGGGCCGGAGCGAAAGCAGCGTGAGCAGCAGGGCGCAGGCCAGCAGCTGGGAGAGGTGCATGGTGCCGGCGGAGCCGAGGGACGCAGACGGGCAGCACCGAGGGCGCGCGAGGCCGGAGGGCGGACCGGCAGGCGAGTGCAGAGCGGGCTGGCAGGGCTGCCGGGAGAGCGCGGGTCCCAGTGCTGCGCAGCGCCGGCTGGGTGCGCTCTGAGCCCGCGGCTCCGCTCGCGCCTTTATAATCCAACCTGCAGCTGATGTCATCCTCCCGCCCACCCGGCCGCCCGGGCCAATGGCACCGCACACGCGGCCGTGCTGAGGGCCGGGAAGGGGGAGCCGCGGGGGCTTCATCCCACCCCCGAGGGATCCCGCGGCTTGGCCGGCCAGCTCCCGGCCGCACTTGGAGCTGCAAAGCAGCGCGCATGAGGGAACTCCCGTGACAGCGAGCGCGCGCCCTGGCACGCCGAGCCCCCGCGCGTCCTCACCAGGCGCTCTGCACCTGGAAGCGATCCGAACCGCTCTTTGCAGTTGCAAAGACGGGCCCAGAGCAATTAAGTCACTTGCCCAAAGTCCCATAGCCAGGAAGTTGGCGCTGCGCGAAGTCCACGCCGGTGGGTTTTGCCGCCAGACTCTTCTTCCCCCGGCACCCGGCCGGTGCGGACTGGCGTGGCGGTCCCACCTTTCACCCGCTCGCCAGGGCGGGAGCGCGGAGCGCGCTGGTGCACTCAGGTTGGGCATGCGGGGGAGGGGGCCGGACGGAGGTCCGGGCGAGAGCAGAGTTTGCGCGAGGCCGCAGGGGGGAGCGCAAGTCTTCCCTAGCAGAGAGCACGAGCCTTTGGGCAGCCCGAGGGATGGAGCTCGTGACGGGAGCGAAGAGGGCTGCGATGCCAGTGCGAGGGCGCCGGGACCTCGGGTGCCCGCCGCCGCCGCTCTGAGGTTGGCCCTCAGCCGGGATGGGCCGCACACAGCGTGCCAGGTTCTGAGTGCAGGTGGCCGAAGTTTGCAGCTTGCGCACCTGCCTGCGCCTACACTCCCGCCAGGATCTGCAGAGCGCGGGCTGGGCTGGGGTGTCCTCTTCAGGCTTGTGCACCTGCACAGGCCGGGCAGGGATCTTCAGTGAGTGGTCACCTGTGAGCTTTTGCTCCTAGAGGTCTTGGCCGTGGCCGTTGTCCTGGCTCACCCCCTCCTCTCCTTGGGCTGGATGTCTGGTCCATCGGGCTCGGGGGAGTGAGTCCTTCTGTTATGGGTCCTGGAGGTGATGAGCCTGGTACCCAAAAATTGATTGAGATGCTGGAATCTGTGAGCCTGCTGCTGCTGAGCAGGTGGCCAAGCCCACCCTGCCAGGGGACAGAGCACAGGCGAGCGTTTTTAGGGAGAGAAAGCTGTGGGCGTGGAAGCAGCTAGAGACAAGAAGGAGGTGCCCTCCGGCTGGACCCCAAGCTGAATGGCACTGCTGTTTGCTCTGTCAGCCCCTCTCCCCAGTGTCCCCTTCCCACCGGAAGTGGGGAACCACAGACCCTCGGTCCCTTGGTTTAGGTCTGAGTTTGGGGCACTGGAGTCTCCTGATGTCTAGGAAGATCCAGATATCTACGGGGCATTTTTATCAGTTCTGGTGACACACTGCCCCCAGGAAGTCCCACTGACTGCCTCTCCATGCCCGTGTAGTGACAACACTCTTTTATTTGAGGAGAGATGGAGAAGAACAAGAAGTGGGAAGAGGAAGGGGTCTCCAGGCAGGTGGTGGAAGTTCCCACTCCTCCTTGCCTCCAGGACAAAGGACCATCAGAACTGCTGTGCGACTTGCTTTCTTTATACCTGGAGAACTGGCTCTGGAGTCAGACCCTCGGCTGCTCCCCAGGGGCGGCAGCCACATCGTCTAAAGCCACTCATGGGGCAGGTGTTTGGTGTAGCGGCTGGAACTTAGCTCACAGCCCATATTGGAGTCTTTGGGTTAGAGTTGAGGTCGGCTCCCAATTCTATCATCCTCCTAATGTGTACCCTGGGAGGCAGCAGATGATGGATGGCTCAAGCAGTTGGTCCCTGTCACTCACATGGGACACCTGGATTGGGTTCCAGGCTCTTGGCTTCAGCCTGGCTCAGCCCCAGCCATTGCAGCATCTGGGGTGTGGACCAGCAGATGGAAGATCTCTGTCTCTCTGCTTTTGAAATAAGTAAATAAACGCATGCTGTAAAGGGGGAAAGGACCCCTTATATTAAGGGCAGTGGGGTGCTCCTGGCTGCCTCCTGTCTGAAGGTGGACAAGCTGTCTCTGTCTCTTCTGTGGCCTTGCACACTGTGATGGCTGGTGACCCCTAGGTCTCCCCTCTCTCTGAGCTTTGAGGCTGACTTAGTGCAATGACAGTCTCCACCCAGCATGGCGAGGCCAGCGCTCTGGACTTCACATCCCTCTCTCAAGGTGGGGGGGGGTGTCTTCTGTCAGCCCCCTCCCCCTGCCACCGAGCTGAGACCATGTGAGGCGCACCAGATTTGGGCAGAGCTCACCATGGAGTGAGACCCCGGAGCTGGGGCCTGGGAGCTAGGGTGGGTGGGAGTCTCAGAGCAGGCTGGCAACTCCTTGGAGACAGCAGTAGCCAGCATGAACCTGCCTGCCTCCCAACCAGGAAGTCTCCCTGAGGTGGTCTTGCAGGGGAGCCCAGAGGGGGCTGTCCCTGCTGGCCTGGGTCTGAGGCTCAGGCTCCTTTTCCTGCCTTCCCTCGGGAGCTCTGTGGCTACCGCTGCTGCCACTTCTCCCCCTCCTCCTCCTCATTTTTTAAGGATTTATGTATTTGAGAGACAGAGTTACAGAGAGAGAGAGAGAGAGAGAGAGAGAGAGAGAGAGAAAGAGGGAGAGACAGACAGATCTTCCACCCACTGGTTCACTCCCCAAGTGGCCACAATGGCCTGAACTGGGCCAGACTGAAGCCAGGAGCCAGGAGCTTCTTCCCAGTCTCCCACACAGGTGCAGGGGTCGAAGCACTTGGATTATCTCCCACTGCTTTCCCAGGCGCATTAACAGGGAGCTGGATCAGAAGTGGAGCAGCTGGGACTACACTATGGGTTGCTGACATTACAGTCGATGGCTTAGCCTGTGGTGCCACAGCCCCTGCCCCAGCACCTGGCAGCTCTGTAAGGAATCCTGTCGTCTGTCACTTCTGCTCACATGGATTCTCCAAGTATCCACGGAGCATCCTTGCAGGCTGCAGAGTCCCAGCCCAGCAGGGACGAACTGCCAGCAAACAGACAGAGGCTGAAAAGGATAATGTCAGGGAGGCTGAGCACACCGACATGGGCTGGCATCCTCCCCCCCCACCCCAGCCTGTGCTAGCAGGGCAGGCTTCAGGCTTCCTGGAGAAGGAAGGGTCTGTGCTGAGCTTGGAGACTCGGGGAGAGAAGGAAAGAGAGGAGGAAGCCTAAATGGAAAACAGTGATTCTCTGCTGGCTAACTGTGGACTGGACCAGAGACCCAGCTCAGAGGGATGCTGTGCAAACCAAAGGAGAGGCCTCCCCAGTGGGCAGCCCAGGGAGACAGAGTGGGGTGGCACATCCCCACGTGGCCAGACCTTGGCGGAGGGGGGGGCTCCCAGCAGGGGCGCCCAGGGGAGGCAGGCATGGGACAGAGGCACACCTGAGGGCTGTCCAGGTCCAGAAGTGAGTGCGATGATACAGAGGGGAGGGCGAGTTTCCCAGGAATGGGGTCCTGCTGTGGATGAAAGACCAGGGGGGCGTGTCTGGGGGTGGGGTGTGCAGGGAAGAGCCAGGGTGGGCACAGGGAAAGCCAGGACAGGGAGTGAGCCCCAGGCACTGGAGGGTTATGTGGCTGGGACCCCAGGTCCCTCCCCGTTCTCATGCATACTTCTTCACACGCCCCCCCAGGGGCCAGTTCTTCTGTGGCACAGATGCTGCCCCCTCCACTGGCAGGGAAGATGGGATGGAAGAATGGGCCTGGCCAGCATACCTGGGGTGAGAAATGTGTGCAGAGGCTTCTGGGAGGCTGGGCAAGGGGCGGCTCCGGCACAGTTGCCCAGCCCCTGCCCGACAGCCGGGGACAAGCTCTGGTGGAGCAGCGCCCCCTTCTGGCCCTGGGCGGTGGGGGCAGATTCTCAGGCGCACACACAGGAGGAGGGGATGGCTGGGCCCATCTGTTCCCTCCGCAATTAGTTCATCCCAGGGCCCACTTCCAGCTGCATGACTTCTCAGAGAGGACACCAAACAGACCGTCCTCGGGGAGGCCGGCCAGGGAAGCAGCGGCAGGACCCGGGCCAAGTGCCGTTTCTATGCCGAGCCTTCAGCTTCGCCACCTGGAATCGGGAAAAGGCCGCCCTTGCCTCCTGCTTGGGGGCAGAGAGGAGGTGGGGGCCCGGCTGAGGGAGCCGGAAGCAGCCGAGGCAGAAGGGGGTTCCAGGGTTACTGCATGTCCACACACGCTGCCGCAGGCCTGGGGTGGTGAGCACCCGGACCCGCCAAGGCCGTGGCACCCTCCTCAGCCGTCCTTGGCTTGGGAGCTGAGGGCCAAGGAAGCCTCCTCCATCCTTTGCTGGCTGGGGTGAGCTCGTGGTGCCGTGCGTCTGACCCGGGACAGCCCCACCTGAAGAGGCAGCTGCCCTCCCTCCGCTTTCCCAGGGGCTCTGCTCCAGATGGCCTCCAGCCCCACTGTCCAACGCAGGCCCATGACGTCACAGATTATCCCTCCCTTCCTTTTTTTTTTTTTTTTTAAACCCTTGTCAGAAAGAAAAGAAAGGTCCTCAACAGATAGGCTCAGCCCCCTGGGGCAGCAACTGCCCCCATCTAAATGTCACCAGGCAGGGGCTGAGGCCGCTCGCCCGAGACAGGGAGTGGTGAGCGGAGGAGGGGCCTTCCCGGGGGGTGGGGGAAACAGTTCGGTGCCCCAACCTCAGCACAGAGTCTGCACCAGATGTTTGCGGAGGGGACGGATCTGCTGCCAGGCGCTGCGCCCTGGGGACGAGGGCTGTCTGGGCCGGGCTCTGGTGAAATGTGGTCACAGGGCGCTTTGCCAAGCATGAGCCCACTCCTTTGCTGCGCTGGGGGTCCCTGCAGCGAGCCCACCTTCTTGGCCTGTGCCCAGAGAAGGGCATCTGTTGTCTCATCTTGGAGACCTTGTTTCAGCTTTGGTGGAGGCGCAGGCTTCAAGGAAGGGGCTTTCCCCCGACCCAAGCATAGAGGGGACCCCAAGTGTCATGCAGAAGCCGCCTCACTTGGCACCTTCAT